CGGGCCCGGGCTCCCGTCAGGCGCTGGTGGGTTTGGGTAACAAATCTCAACGGTGCCTGCGTAGATCAACGCTGATGTTTCTAGAGGTGTTTAAATTAGGGTGCTGGGGAAGGGGGGGGAGGCTCGTGGTTTGTGTGTGTGTCCTGGCTTTTGGCTTGTTCATCTCCAGTGCCATTTTGGTTCCTGTATGGGACATCTTTGTGGCTTCTCTCTGCACACAGCTGCGTATTGCCGTGGAAATCTGGTAGATTGCTTTCTGCCTAATGGAGTAATGAAATGGGGAAGCCAGAAACCTCTGTAATCTGCTAGAAATCTCTGTAATCTGCTTAAGCAGTATGAAGGACATATCAGCATTAAATGCTGCTCCACTAAGTTGTTTTGTTGTTGGGGGTTTTTTGTTTGTTTGCTTGTTCTTAACATAATTTTTTTCTTGTTTTGGTAAGGCAGAATGCAGAGTACTTTTCCTGTGTAGGAAGTCACCACTGGATGTGCTCAGCAGTAGGTGCACAGTGCAGTTTGTTAGTGCCTTGAGAATGCCTTTGGGTGAGGTAGCTTGTGTCTCTTTACGAAGTGCTCTCTTGCTGTTTGTAAGTCCCGCGTAGCTGTCGTTAGTTGCATTGGGATTTTCTGAAGAGTGGCTTTGCTCCTTAACCCACTGGTTTGCTGCTGCTGACAAAGGAAGGCTCTTCTCCTGCCCTCCTGTAAGACTGCAGGCCCTGTGTCCTGTACAAATGCAGCTGTGGCAGTGCTGAGCATTAGACCAGCTCATTCAGCCTCAAGAACAGTATCCTGAGACTAACAGCACGGGGAGTTAGCACTCGGGAAGGTAGTAGGTGTTCAGGGAAGGACCACTGCTGCTCTCTGAGCACGGGCACCGGTTCCCCTGGGTCGCAATGCCCAGAGGGAGGGAAGGAGGGACAGTTTGTGCATGTCACAGGGCCACTGGCAGAACTACGAAATGATGCTTGTTCTGTTCATGGCTATTTTTTTCCTACCTTTTTACATTTCTGTGAGGTTTTTGTTGTTACTTGCTATGTACAAAATACCTTCTCCCTCTTCTGTACCTTTGAGTATCTTGTGTGTCTTATCTAGACGCTAACTGTGATGGATATTGTAAATACAGGCTTAGTTTGGTCTCCTGTGTCCACTGGTTCATAGAACTTCCAGTATTCTACAGGGTGGGGTTGCCGGTGCACTCTAAAGCTCAACAGTCAGCCCAGGCTTATTTCCCTGCAGTGACAGGGACGTGTTAGGAAAAATAAGGATTAAGAGACAGTATCAGATGTCTTCTTTTCTATCAGAGATAAGGAATTATACAAGAAAAGTTTAAAGGTGGTAAAGGAAGGAAATACAATGAGGGATCCACCTGTCAAAAATAGGAAGAAATTTGTTTGAAGGGGAGGGGCCATTGGGAATTGTCTGAATCTCAAGTGAAAGGAGATGATGATGCCCCTTCAGGTAAGGACAGCTGTCACACCTCTATGCCATCCACATAGGAATATTTTTATGCTGGAGCAAGTCAGGCTGTGGAAGCAGGTTAATCTTTTCAGGAGCAGTTTTATGGACACACTCTTAGTCTTCTACTTAAGTAACAAGATTGCAAATGTGCTCAGTAAGAAATTTTTACTTTGCATGTACGCTGAGAGTAAGATGTGTTTTGTGCTGTTTAGTGGCACAGCTGCCTGCAAGGCCGTGTACCTAAACTAGTAGCTCTTGTCTGTTGTGAAAGGAGGATGCCAAAGCAATTGGAAAATAATAGAAGTTCAGCTGGATGCAACAGAATTTCAGTGGGGATGTTCCAAGCGAGGTGTAGCATGTAGCGTTTCTCTTCATTTTTAACTTCTAAATGCTGTCTTCAGAGCTCAGCAATGAATACGTGAGGGTAAATGTTGTGCTCTGGTGCTCCCTCCCCCAACCTCGTGGGCCAGAACTGTGTTCCCTGGTTCATCCCCAGAGAAGGGAAGCTTGCCAAACAAAACACGTGTATCAAATAAGCAAGTAATCACTCCTTCTAGGTAGACTTACACTTGTGTAGCATTAACACTTGATTTCCGGGAACCCAGAACACACGCTTTGTGAAGCAGAAAGAGCTTTTAGTAGATGGAAACATCTGGGGTTTGCACCTGTTGGAAGTCTTTATTGCTTTTAATTTGCCATTAGCTTATACTTTGAGGTGAGTGCACTTAAGAGGGAAGCTTGATAATTTTTGTGCTGATCGTAAATCATGGAGCAACTTACTTTAGCTGACAGCTGACGAGCTGTTATATGTTAAACAGTTAATGTGCTCAGGCCCTTTGACACAGTTCTCCCAGCAGATGTTCATGTGCTATGGCCAATATAAAGGATTCCTCTGAAGAAGGTTTTTTGCTATTCAAACCAGGCAGACATAAACCTCTGAAACAATATCGTCACATGTTTTTCTTTTCTCTCTAGTTCTCGCTTGCTGCAGAATACTGATATGCTAGCCTGAGGAGAAAGGCACTGTTAATGATTAGCATTGTATATCTGACAAGTATTTGGGCTTTCCCCCCTTACCATGCCTACTTCTAGCTTAATATCTCAGTGTTCTTTCAGACAAACCTGGAATTTACAACAGGATTTAATTTTTCTTTTTTAATCTATTGGTACTTCCTGGTATTGGAGGTCACTTTCTCTCTCAAGAAAAACAGTTGAAATGAGATCATCTCCCAGTTTTCTTAAGGTGACACTTCTTTGAGATACAAGTGACACTTAATTTGTTTTCACTACTTCACAGCTGTAGCTACATCTAATCCTTAGTCTGTTCATTTATCCACTTAGATACCTGACCTTTATTAGTATAGTAATGCTTGGGGAGAAGTATGTATCCCTAAAATTATCAGAAGTTTTAAAATTCCTATCTATTAGTAAATAACAGAAATCATATTACATGAGGGACTCTGAGAGTAATCTTAAGAGACACCAGTATTTCCTTACCTACACAAATTATTCTTATACTAGGTGATCTCTTTGTGTTTAGAGTTATTTGATAAAAAAATATTCTACGAATTGCCATATAATACCTTTATTAGTAGGGGAAATTCTAGAGTCTGCAAGGAGAGAAAGACTTTAATCCACTTTTCCATGTGCTAGTTTAATTGCTTTCTATGTAAAATTTTACACTTTTTGGAAAGTGTGAGATACGGAATCTGAAATCATTTACCTGGGTTTCTTGATGGTATTCTACGTAGTGACATGAACTGTACATGTGACAAGTACATTCTATTTGAAGTGATGATAAATAGTTTTATACAGTGACTTGATTTTTACTATTTTTCCATCCTGCTTTCAAGCTACCCATCTCTCATGAAATCAATCATTATGTAAAATAATTAATTGAATAAACTCCTTTTCCCCAAACAGCTCTTTCTCTTCATAACAGCTTTTTAGAAGAATATACTGATAGTTTGAACTTTGTTTAATTCAGAACACTCTGGTTTGTTGCAGGTAACTGCAGATGAGGGGATCCTGCATGCTTCTGGAAATGGTGTGCCTCCAGTAACAAAGGATTACTGCATAATTTACAATTCTAATTGGATATCTCTTCCAAAGAGCCTGGACAATGCTGTAAGTAGCTTATAATCATACTCCCTAAGAAAACTAGAATGCAATATGAATTTGGATGAGCTATAACTGGTCTTCAAAATTTTGAGTTAAATAGGTCCTACATTGAATACTTACCTTTTTGGGTTGTGTGGTGCTCCCCCCCCCCCCCCCCAAATCTCTGTAGTGAACATTTCTGTACTTCAAAAAGCCCCTAAAGTTTATGAAGGCGATACCCTCTCTGTGCTTAGAACTGGTTTTAAATATGTTTATATATTCAACTAATATTGTTAATTTCTTTCTTCAGGTGTTATCAGTATGTCCAAGTTTTAGATTTGGGAGTAAAACTTCTATTTATTTGTTTACAAAAATGTTTTAAACTTGTGAAACATATTTCTTATATTGATTCATCAGTTTGCTCTTCTGTTTAATTGTCTTGAAAACATGTGGTGGAATAGGAGATTACCTGGAATGTATCGTCATGCCATATTTTCTGAGTGTGTGTCTTTGAGCTGAACTAGTGTGTGAGGCAGAAACAAATCTTTTTTTTTTTTTTTTTTTTTCTGATGGCACTTTTTGCTGCTTATAAACAGGAAATATTTTGTGTTTGCAAGTGATCAAGGCACTCTTCTCTCCCTTCCCTCCTGTCATTCATTAGCAGGTTAACTCAATGTAAAACAGAATAAAAATCATTTGTCTGCCCCAAACATCTTTGCTGTGCTACTTTGGCCACTGGGATGTCTTCACTAACTAAAGAAAACTGACAACAATTTAAAAATAATTGTCAATATGGAATTGAACTTTGAAATAAGGATAGAAGTCTTTTTTTTTTTTTTTTAAATTCTTTTGTAATAAGTAATATCAGGCTCGCCAACTGTTTTTGAACAAGTAGTATAGTTCGGAACTCTGGTTATGTTGTATCTGTCAGTGCTCTTTTGGTTTGTGAAGCCTGGAAGTGTCACAGAGTGTACATTGGATTCCCTAGAACTACAAACAGTGATGTTTCTATATAACCAGTTTCTTATGTTTAAATTACAGCAACAACTGCTGTGAAGTTGCATTTAGAAACAGTGTCGTGGTTTAGCCCCAGCCAGCAGCTAAGCACCACACAGCCGCTCGCTCACTCCCCCTACCCCGCAGGGATGGGGGCGA